TCCTGGCCTGGATGCGTCTTCCTACGTCTGAGTGTGGTTTGCTCATTGGAATCAAAAAAAAAAAAAAAAAAAAAAAAAAAAAAAAAGGTGTGCGTATCCGGTATACCTATAAATGTCAACACCGCCTTCAACAACGCTCGGGCTAGCACTAAGCTAAACACTAAGCTGAACGGGACGCACAACAGTATGCAGAATCATACGCTGAAACTCGCGCAAAAAAAAAAAAAAAAAAAATTCACCGGGTCAACGAAAACTTACTTGTACTAAAATGTGCAACAACGCGAAGCAAACTAAGTTCGCATTCTTAAAAAACTTAAGCTTTCCCATGATGGTAGGGCTCTGTAGAGTTATTTCCCTTTTTGTCGTAAAGCTGCCGCTATACGTTTGGGTTGCTCGTTGGAGTCGCTCGTATGGGTCGCTGTGTAGGTCACTGTGTGAGCCACTTATCGCTTATCTTGTAGAAAGCAGGGCGTAAAAAAGCGGAAATACTAATTCGAATGTTTGATTATAAGAAAATACGAATAGTAAAACAATTATTACACAAACAAACTGTAGGGCTATGATACAATTACGTGTGGTTTATTTATTTATTATTTATTTTTTTTTTTTTTATAATTCTTTTCTATAATTCTTTTCTATAATTCCTTTCTAACATGTGAAGATGGGCTCTACATTTAGGCCAGCCAACAAAAAAAAAATATGCACCGTCATGTTAGTCGGTGTAGGGATGCTCTCCCCCTATATTCCTTCCTCAAGCATGTGCAAAAAAAAAAAAGCCACGTCGTGAAGAAGATCAAAAACGGTACAAACTCAATGCGGAATTAGCTACTACTTTAGCAGAAACGGCAGGGTAAAGCGGTTATCTAAGTCCACTAATCACTGAATAGAAAAAAAGGAACGGAAGAAGAACCCAAACCATACACTGTGCAGTGCATACATATTTATATTAGCATATGTCCCCTTATAATATAAAGCACCTACTGTTACTGTATACTACAATTAAGCGGTTCTGATTTTGCACTCCCCCCAGAGCACGAACTGTATCCCCCTATGCTAATTCGCCTGCACCCTACCCAACCCCCTTTTGGCCCTTTTCTCATTTTTCCTTTTCTTTCTTGCATTCCTTTGCCGCGCCTTTTTAAACTACCTACAAATAAAACAACGTCCCCTTTTTAGGTTATGTGCATCACCCCCGCATAACAGCACACTTTTACTATTTAATAATAAAGGGAAAAATAAATACAACGGCACTAATATGTATAAAAAAAAAAAAAAAATATAATAAAAAATAATAGTAATAATAAAACAAGAATAATAATAATATAATCCCAAGCAGTTGCATGTACATGTGTACTGACCCCTATATGTCCGCGACATCCGTCATTCTACAAGCGCGCACGCAGTGATGGCAACATCCGACGCGCGCAGCTCCTTGCGAGTTGATATCAAGTTGCAAAAAATGCAGAAAAAGTATCTTTTGAAAAAGGAAGAAAAAAAAAAAAAATTATCTCCGCAAATAAATCGTTCTTTTAATTGTCATATGTGTGTGCACATAATACGTATAATCAGTTCAAATAAAAAAAAAAAAAAAAAAAAAAAAAATAAAATAAAAAATTGTAAGAGAAGCTTTTTTTTCCCACGCACCCTCCAACGTGTGTTACTCTCCAGGTAGACAAAAACGAATATTCATGCTATGCTGGAGCGCGACAAATCATCTCCTCACCGTACCCACTCAGTACTGTATGCACATCTCGCAGGCCTTGCTCTGGTTCTTCTTCCAGTATGCCCTCAACACCTCGTCCATTTTTGCACTACAAAAATTATTCACCATCCTCCTGTATTCCTTCCACAAATGCTTGTAACTAATCAACCCATCAGTGAACTTCTTCGTCCTGCACCTACCATAACGAACAAACGCACTAAAGCTTTTTAGAAAATGCTTCTCTTTAAACAAAAAAAAATTCGTGGTCTTTTCATATAAATTCTTCATTTGTTCCTTCTTAAAATCCTCATCTACGTTATAATTGTAACACATGTTCTCCCAATGGGTAATCACATTTTCTTGCATGTTCAAATATTTTTTCCTTTCATTCGTGTGCACATAATAAAAAATGGAACTCATTTCTTCAGGATCCACATAATCACCTAGGTTAGAAATTTTGTCCCAGAATTCTCTTTCTGATAATTCCTGTGCCTGATTCATGTATTCATAGTAGGCCTCTCGGATGAATCTATTTCGTCTGGGTTCAATTTCGTCTTGCGCCTCCTCCAACGTTTCGTCTTCTTCTCCTTCTTCTTCATCTGATGATGATGCTGTCGCGGTGCCGTCCTCCCAACAGTTGGGCGAAAGGCCAACACTACTACAACCTTCGTCCGTAAAGTCACCACTTCCTCCTTCCCTCCTCTGGTTTCTAATAAAGCATTTGTTATATTTACACATGAGCATAAGCAAACGGTACATGTCCTGCCTTGAATTATCGTTCAGATTGTTCTGTGCTGGTAGTGCAGGGTCGAACAAATTTCCATTTTCTCCTGCCATGACGGGGCTTGTCCCCATTCCAGGGGTTGCTGTAGAAGAATTTGCGCAAGCTAATCGTCTTCCCTTTCGCTCTCTCCATTCTGTTCCGTGTCTATGGCGCTCTCCCTGCCTCGTGAAAATGGTACTCTGACAAGTGTGCGGGTAGGTGTATGCGTGTATATGTGCGTGTATATGTGCGTGTATATGTGCATGTATATATGAGCGTGTGGGTGGGTGGCAGGGGAACGTTTAAAAGGAATTATTACACCGTGAGTTACGCAACGACGTAATTTTGAGCAGTTGCGCCTTGCGTTTTTAAAAGCCACCCACTGCTACTCACAATCTCATCGAATGGACTTTACCTCCAGCGCCAAAAAGAACAATCCCATGAACACGATATTCAAAATGCGAAACAAAGAGGAGACACATCTGCTCATTCCTCTTCTGCTCCCTCGGTTCCCGTGCTCATTAGCCATTTCCACCAAATTATTCATTTCGCTAATTCTACACTGTGGGAAATTACTTCTAAAGAACGGCTCACCAGTACCACTTTGCATTACCACTGAACCGCTCAATTATGTTAGCTCCCCCTCAGTGCAGTAAAAAAAAAAAATAATAATAAACAAAATAAAATACAACAAAAGGATACACGAGTGTGCCTCGTATGTGGGGGAAGATATTATCGGTTTTGTTTTTCTCGTCCTCTCCCCCTATGCAGACACAAGCATATGTGTCTTATGCTGCTGTAGTGGCACCTATCGTTGCTGCAACGCACAGCATGTACAGGATGGGGGAAATCTTCCTCTCTGCTCAAGGGGACAACCAAAAAAAAAAAAAAAAAACAAATAAACTTAAAGTTAGCAAAGACGACAGGGGGAAAATAAACAGAACGGAGGCAACATCAATAGCTGCGACAGAACGAACAGATACAAGAAAAAAAAAAAAAAAAAAAAACAGGAAAAACAACAACTGATCAAATGACAAATCAGCGAACTGATTGAACAAATGCTGCTCTGTGAAGACCCAAACGACGACAGGACACTAAACCGCTAGCGATTAAAAATAAAAATATACTAAAACAAAGTGGACAACCATGCGAAAGAGGTATAACCACAGCGGTCTAAAAAAAA